GCAAAAAACACACTACTGAACCGAAGATCGGGCATTGTAGCGCCATTGCCAAAGAAGGGAGACAACATGGAGTGCTACACAATTATCGGAGACGATGTGTAGAGTTGAGGAAGTTACCGTTTATGGGCGACCCGTTTCTGTTAGTATCTTCTAAAACTGATAAGCAGCGCTCTCTGGAATGGTTCGAAGCAAAGTGTGACTTGGCCAGCATGCATGAGCGTTTCTAAAACGAAAATCGTAATGCTTTATTCTTTTTATACTTTTTTGGCCTGCAGAAAAACGGAGAAACAGTGGAGCAGATGAAGAAGTCCAATCATTTTGCAGTGCAGTTCACTGGTTATAGAACCAGTGGGAGGAAGAGATCGACTGGTGAATTGGAATTGCCACCAGCATTTTGAGTGAACTAGTCAGAGCCGTTATAAGTGAAACAAAATGAGTCTGAAGACAGAGATCGCTGTATTTAAGTCGATTTTCTTCCCTGTGCTCACACGTGGTAATGAGTAATGGGTCGTGGACAAAAAACTTCGATCCCAAGTACGTGCGTCAGAAATGCGCTCTCTGAGAACATGGTCCGTGATAGAAATATCCGAGAGAGCCTTAATGTACAGCCGCTCCTTATCCAGATTGAATAGTCACGGCTACCATGGTTTGGATATGCCTTGCGAATGGTTCCGCAAAGCGAGGCGAAACTGTCAACACTTGCCCAACTGATGACCCCAACGGGAAATGGTCTGGAGAAAGTGTATCCAAGGACTGTGCTCAACACTCGGGTTATATCCGACGTAAAAACGGATTTGCACGATCAGTAACATTCTGGACACTGCGAATCACCCGCCGCCGCGATCCGAAGGTATAGGCGGTCATCAGAACCGACTGATTAATGTCTCAGATCACGGCACTGCTGCTTTAGGTGGTATATTCAACGACCTAATCAAGATGGTATAATTGGTTCTTTCTTGCAGAGATGAGGTCTTCTCGAGATAGATCTTTCGCCACTCTACTTAAGTCTGAGCTCGTTACTTTAACAACTCTGAGTTTTCTCTTAAATTTTAGTCCATATTTAATGTTGGCGTCGTTCAACGCACTGATGCTTCTTTAAAATTCTCTTGGTGATATAGATAGGATCGTAGTGTCGTCAGCAAACCACACGTAGCTTCAGTAGAGCCAGGCATCTTCAACGAAAAGTCTTCATGACATTCTTTGAGGCTGGTGTGAATTGCTTCGATGATATTGCGTCTCCATATCAGACGAAGTTTTCGATTTTGAATTTGCTTGTGCTTTTTGAAGCTTCACACTAGCAATTTTAGTCACGTGCACCTTGGCGAGCGGGTTCATATATTTTCTCTGAATTTCCTAGCTCCTCAATGAATCTGGGACAAAATGTACGTTGATTTAGACGAATGCCTTCCTGAAATCGACGAACCTGAGGCGGATGAAGCTGATATTCGTTGTTTTACTCAATTATTTGTTGCATCACCTGATTAAGATCCATCGTATTAAATCCAACCAACTTTTGAATCTTGTTTGCTTCTTTGGTTGAGTGAATGAGGAGAGAGGGGCAAACTTTTGTTGAAGTCTGTTCATCAGTACTTTTATGAATTACCCAAATTATTATACGAGAAGGCAGCACTGCTAGGCAGCGTACACAAAATTTCTGTTACATGCTTCTTGGTTGCTGGCGTTAGTGCTGGTCAGACTCGCCCACGCAGGGTATAGGAACATGCGATAAATGCTACTGGTTTTCCTGGAGTGGCGGCAGCTCTAAAAGTCGGCTATTCATACATTTATTATGCATTAATTAATTAATTCAAAACGCACAACGCATAACAAAACATGATCACCGGTTCTCAAAACAACGAATAAACGCTTGAGCAAATACAAGTTAACGATATTGTAAAGACTGAAAGTAAAAACTATCCAAAATCACGACAGATTATCGCGTAAACGACGAGTATATACAACGACCCAGTTCCGAGCGCTAAAATACAAGAAACTCAATAATAACGAAGATAATCAGCAAAAACAGAATTCAGAAATTATGCATATCGTCTAGAGTATTCCACTGTAGAAAGTGAGCAAATATGCAAACGTGCATTGTTTAATTACCTATTACCATCATGCTGTAGACTAGTCTTGGATCAAAGAATTGTTTTAAAGCCTTAAAAGAACTACATGTCTAAGATGCCTCTGATTTTGAATCATAATTTTAAATTTATAACTGAAGTAAACAGGGCGAAATGGTTAAATCAGGAAGCCTGTATACGGTTGAAGTAAAGAAGGAAGTTAAGGTAAACTCCTACAGAAAAATATAGTGAAGGAAAACAATACAGGGTAATGGCCTAAAAGGCTGTCTTCATTCTTTATAGTACAGTGGAAATGACTGTATCGGTCTGCGTGGATAAAACACCTCTTTCTCAGGAACCTGTTGCTATATAGGTAAAAAACACTTTAAATAGCAAAGCATTTTTGACGATGAGCACGATTTGCATTATCATACAAATGGCGAACTAGCATTTTTATACTCCCTTCAGTTTGAAAAGAAAATTAAACTTCATGCGCATTCAAATTCATAGCTATAACTTCCATTTGGCGGAAAGTACGTCAACCAATAAATGGTTCGATGTTTTGGGAACATATGAACACAAAAGCCGCGGCATTCGGCTATACCGTTCGATATTAGCGTTCTTGTGACTGTACTTCGCCTTGACCTATAGCATACCTGATTATCCAGTGTAATAAACAGCACAAGGAGTGACCCTGATTTCGATGTTTTTCGAAGCAACGTGTGAATTTCCAACCGCACTTTTGTCTCAATGTAGGAGCTGATGGTATAAAGGTAGTAAATTATTAATTTATGGACATAATTTATGACCATCCGCTCCTCAG